GGGGATGGAGTTATAGACAGTTGTGCTTATAGACGTGGGTTGGCATTATAGACGTGGGTGCTGGGATTGTAACTCAGGTCTTCAAGAACCACAGCACTCTTGCTGGTGAGCCATCTCTCCAGCCCCATAGCCCACATTCTTTTTTGTTGTTTTGTTTGTGTTTTTTTTTTTTCTTCTTCGGGACAGGGTTTCTCTGTTTAGTTCTGGCTGTCCTGAAACTCTCTGTAGACCAGACTGGCCTCGAACTGACAGAGAGAGACCTGCCTTCTTCTGCCTCCCCGAGTGTGCCACATTCTTCTTAATTGAATTAATTTTGTATGTATGGGTGTTTTGCCTGCATATGTGTCTGCATCTTATGTATCCTGGGAAGAGGGAGTCAGGTCCCCTGGAACTGGAGTTACAGAAAATTCTGAGCCACCATGTGGTTACTGAGAATTGAACCAGGATCCTCTAGAAGATCAGCCAGTGCCCTTTAACTCCAAGTCCTCTCTCTAAGCCTCAATTTATAGGGTATTTTTGTTTTCTTCCCTGGTGCTAGGAACCAAACTTTGTAAAAAAAATCAAAACCCCTGTTAACTCCAGTTCCAGAGGATCCAGTGCCCTCTTCTGACCTACAAGGGCAGCGTAAGCATGTGCACTCATGTAAAGGCAAAACCACCCATACACATGAAAATTACTAACCCTTTAAAATGACAAGAACTCCACAAGTCATTATCACTTGTGAACTTAGATGCAGAAATCAATAAAATAGCAAAGTAGGTCAGGTGAGATTTATCAGGTAAAGCACTTGATGTGAAGCCTAATGACACAAGTTCAAGCCCCAGAATCCAGATGATAGAAGGAATGAACTGACACCTGCAAGTTATCCTCTGACCTCCAAGCACTCACATAAATAAGTGATAGAACAAATACATTTAAGGGGCTGGAGAGATGGCTAAGTGGTTCAGAACACTGGCTGTTCTTCCAGAGGACCCAGGTTCAATTCCCAGCACCCACATGGCAGCTCACAACTGTCTAATTAGAGTTCCAGGGGATCTGGCATCTGGCATCTCTACATCTTCACATACATTCAGGCAAAACACCAAATTCACATAAAAATAATGTTTAAAAAATACATTTAAAATTAGCAAATAATCCAGGAAGAGAAAATATATAGAAAGGTGTCCATTGAATTTGATGATATATGTAAATAATTAAACAAGTTGTCCAAAAGTTATTACTGATATTCATGGCTGCTACAGCATTTGAAAATCACACCCATGTGATCCATTACGTTAAGTTAAAGAGGAGACAGAGGCAGGTAGATCTCTGGGAGTTCAAGGCTAGCCTGGTCTGTAGAGCTAGTTCCAGAATAGCCAGGGCAACACAAAGAAACCCTGTCTCAAAAACAAACAAAACTTAAAGAGGGGCTGGAGAGATGGCTCAACAGTTAAGATCATTTGCTATGCTTTCAGGGGACATGGATTTGATTCCCAACACCCACATGTTGGCTCACAACTGTCTATAACTCCAGTTCCAGGTGCCCTCTGGCTTCTGCAGGTACCGGCTTCATACATAGTGTACAGATGCACATGCAGACAATCATAAAATAAACATCTGAAAAGAGGTATCTTTTTTAAAAAGCTGATAAGCCACAAGTTGGCCATCTTGTACCACCACCACCACCCAAAGGCTCAGGAACCTGAGCCTCCCACTTCAGACTGGAAGAGCCAGAGGTCTCAAGGAGGACTGACATGTCATCTGGACATGAGAGGATTGCTGTATTTGTGAGCCCAGCAGCTGTGGCTGCCTACAAAACCTGCCTCACAAGCCCCCATCCCTAGCTTTGACAGTGGATGACTTCTGTGGGGGAAAAGTCAGTTTTAACTGGCGGTAGGTTGATTGAATTCCATTGGATGACCTCATATTCATAAGCATATGAGTATCTCAAACTGGGACTCAAGGTCAATGGCGAGGGTGAGGGTGAGGGTGGGGGTGGGGGGGAGATTGCTGGGGAGATGATGGCTCAGCACCGACAAGGCAGCTCACACCTGTTACTCAGGTCCCAGGGGATCTGATGTCCTCTTCTAGCCTTTTTGGAAATTGCATGATTGTGCAGACACACCATATACTTAAAAGGCTGGGTGGTGGCACATGCCTTTAATCCCAGCACTCAGAGGCAGGCATATCTCCATGAGTTCAAGGCAAGTCTGTTCTACAGAGTGAGTTCCAGAACGGGCTCCAAAATGACACAGAGAAACCCTGTCTTGAAAAAAACAAAACAAACAAAGCTAGCCTCAAATTATGTATTTTTTTTTTTTTCTGAGACAGGGTCTCACTATGTAACCCTGGCTGTTCTGGTACTCACTATGTAGATCAGGATGGTTTTGAACTCATAGAGATCCACCAACCTCTGTCTCCCGAGTGCTGGGATTAAAGGTGTGTGTCACCATGCCTGAAGTTCTTATGTGCTCCAGCCTGGCAGGAAAAGGGGTGCTGGGCTCAAAATCAGGGATTCATTCATGCTTAGGCACTGTCCTACCAAATGAGTTCTATCTCCAGCCCTTGGCTTGTTTTTTTGAGACCTGGGTGGCCTAAATACTATGCAGCTTCTTGACCTTCCCTCTCTCAGATGCTAGGATTATAGACATGTACCTTTAGAGAGGAACTTGAGATACACGAGATTTATGTTTCAGTTCCAAAAGAGAGAAAATTAGGAAAGAGAATTTCTCAGACCTGTTGAACAATATCCAACTAGAGCATAGCAACTCAAGGACATCCACACATGGGGGAAAGAACAATGCCACCTAGAGTCACAGTGAAGATGCAGAACACTGAGAAATGAAGAGCTGGGCTGGAGGATGTAGGCCCCATTGGTAGAGTGCTTGCTTAGTCTGTCCTGGTTCCCATTCCCAGCACCAGTTAACAGTGTGCATGGTGGCTGACACTTGCCATCCCAGTACTGGGAAGGCAGAGGCAGTACAATAAATTCAAGGCTGTGTGTTCTGTTCAATACCTGCCTGGGATACAGCACTGGACCCAAAGATAAAAGCTAATTCTTCCCCAATTACAAACCACATATGATAGATAATAGGAGATTTGCCTGCTTTTGCCTCCAGAGTGCTGGGATTAAGGATGTCCAAGTAAGCGATGCACTTACAGCAACTGTATTCAGTAGGATCTCTTACGATAAGGTAACAGAAGTAAATTTAGCTACATGCCACTGGCATAGATAGGAATATAGATAAATTTATTAATTGAACTTAATGTTTTCTGAGGGTGTAAGTGTTACAACTTGGATAGAAACATATTCTGGCACTCAGGAACCAAAAACTACTGTTAACAACTCAGATGGAGAAGTATTCTGGCACTTGGGAGCCAAAAAATACTAAATGTACAGCTTGGAATGAAAGGTATTCTGGCATTCGGGAGCCAAGGAATACCACAGGTCACACACAGCCAAGTGTAGCAGCTTACAGCCCCGCTCTGGGGAAAGGTTTCCCCAATGTAACAGCTCAGCTCCGGCAGGAGAGGGCTTCTCCAGCTCCAGGGAAAGGCTTCCCAATGTAACAGCTCTGCTCCGGCAGGGGAGGGCTTCCCTAGCAATGTTGTTACAGTTCAGCTCCAGTCCCCCAGAGTGTAACAACTACTTGACTCTAGCAAAGGTTTCCGTGGCAAAAGGTTGAAAGGTCATCACCCAAACCTCATTCAAGAGATTTATTGGGAGGGAAGAATCCAGGAGAGTGGCTGCCTCTGCCAGGGTGGAAGAAGACAGCACCAAACTGAACAGGCACAGAGCTTATGTAGGGCTTCTTGGGGAGTGTGTGAGTCTCCAGGGAGAAGATTTCCAGGGTGGGGATTGGTCAGATTTCTGTCCCTCGAGCTCAGATTGGCTGGATCTTGTGTTCAGAGATTGGTTCATTTTCCCTGCTCAGAGATTGGCAGGTTTTCTGCTTAGTTGGTCAGGGACAGATTGGCTCTAATTTCAGGGCCAGGGCATATTTCTTTCACTGGCTCTGATTATAGGGCCAAAGTGTGTTTCTTTGGCTCTGGTTTTAGGGTCAGTGTGTATTTCTTTGGCTCTGGTTGCAGGTCAAAGTGTGTTTCTTTGACTCTGCTCAGGGTGTGTTTCTTTGGCTGGCCCTTTCCCCCTACACAGGGTCTCATTATGTAGTTCTGGATGGTGAATGGCCTCGAACTCCATATGTAGACTAGGTTGGCCTCTAGCAGAGGAGCAGAGCTAAAGATCCTTTTGCCTCCTGGTGGTGGTGGGACTAACCTTTAATTCCAGCACTAATGGAACAGAAGCAGGTGGATCTCTTATATAGGGCTTCTTGTGGGGTGGGTCAGTCTGGTCTACAGAGTAAATTCCAGGGCTGCCAGGATCCATCTGCCTCTGCCTCCAAAGTGTTAGGATTAAAAGCATGAGCCATTAAACCTGGCCTTAATTTGTTTTTGAGGCAGGGTCTCTGCCATGTAGAACACATTGGCCGCAAACTCATGATCCCCTACCTTCACCTCCTGAGTTGCTGCCTTTATAGGCCCGAGCCACTAGGCTCTGCTGATTCTCCCATATGGTCTCACAATGTATCTCTGGCTGGCCTGAAATTCTTTATGTAGGCCAGGCTGACTTCACACTCAGGATATGAGCCTGTTTTTCCCTCCCAAGTCCAGAGATTAAGGTCATGAACCACCACCCAGGAAAGGGCTGGATTTGGGATCTGCTCTCCAGCCCAGATGGTGAGGCTAGACCTTGCTCAGGTTTCCCACCTGCAGTTGGGTGGTGAGGCAAGGGCATAGTCTGAGGCAAGGAATATAGGACACTTAATAGGCTTATGCTGTGGGCTGAGCTTTGGATGCAATGAACGTTAGTGGGTGTCTGCAAGGCTCAGAGGTTCACAGTGGGACAAGGGCAGCAAGGACAACCCCACACGAACCGGCCCTACTCCATGCCTGCTTTCGCGCGCGCAGCCCGCCAGCCGCCCGGAAGCCGCACGCGCAGGCGCAGTGGCGGCGCGCCCCCTGGCGGCCGGCGGCGGTAGCGCGCAGGGTCCGCCTACCGGTCGCGCGCCGCCGCCTCCGCCGCCGCTTGAGCCCAACATGGCGATGCACAACAAGACGGCGCCGCCGCAGATCCCAGACACCCGGCGGGAGCTGGCCGAGCTGGTGAAGCGGAAGCAGGAGCTGGCGGTGAGTGGCTGGGGCCCGAACGCCGTCCCCTGCCTGGCCTCGCAGGCCGCTCTGGAGGCGAGAGCGGCGGGCGGCCGGGATCCGGGAGCTCTGGGCGGCCGGGCGCGGCGCGGTTCCCTGCGGCAGCGGCGGCTCCCGGCCTGCGCTCGGCGGGGCGGGGCGGGGCGGCGAGGGCGCGGGAAGGGCGAGAGGCAGGAGGCGGGGGCGACACTCCGGCTGGGCTTAGCCGGTGGGAAGGAGGCTGCTTGACCCCGGCCTGGGGAGGATTCGGGAGCGTGTCGGGTGGGTACCCACGGCCGATTGCACTGGCGGCGCGTTTCAATGGCCGGAGAATGTGGTGTATTTGAGGATGCCTGGAAGGGGGCTGGTGGGAGGCGCAGGACGCAGTCTAGGGAATTTGGAATGGTGACGCGCACCCTGAGCCGCCGGCACCCTGGTGGCTCAACCCTCTAGGCTCCCGCCTTTTGCAGCGAGCATCCGGGAGGCAAAGCTCACCTGAAGCTGCCCTTCCAGGTTTCCATGGCAACCGGCATCCACTGCGGGCGGCCCTTCCAGAGCTAGCAGAGAGGGAGCAGTTGATGTAAAAAAGATGGTTTTGAAAAGCTCTTCACCCTTGTCTCTGCTAGCAGCGACACATTTAGTGAGTGAGAATAGAGGCAGCTCACATTCAGTGAGTGAGAATAGAGGCAGCTCACATTCTCTCTCATCCTTGCTCACAATAGCTAGGTTTCCCTCTGAAGTAGATGTAAAACCTTGCGTGTGTGTGCATTTTCTGAGGACAGGCTTCACATTCCATTTTATTTATAAACGAGTCTGTCGTCTCCACTCTTCCACAAAAATGGTTTAGTGTGGGTAAGCTTGGCTTTGCAAGTCTGTATCCAGATTTCAGTTTGCTCATGCTTATGCTTGCTTCTCCATGCCTCTCTTTTCATCACTTAGGAAACACTTGCAAACTTGGAGAGACAGATCTATGCTTTTGAAGGAAGCTACCTGGAAGACACTCAGATGTATGGCAATATTATCCGTGGCTGGGATCGGTATCTGACCAATCAAAAGTGAGTGTCAGAATCTAGTAGTATCCATTTTATTCCCCAGTAATATATATCTGTACGGTTTTCATTTTGTTTTAAAACATGGTCTTACCATATAGCCCTGGCTACCTGGAACTTAATATGTAGTTCAGGCTACCTCACACTCACAGATTACATAGATCCTTCTCCCTCTGACTCCAATTCTTGATTTAAAGGCATGGACTGCCATTGCATATCTTGGGATATTTGTCCTTGGCATCTTCTTTGTAGGGAGACAGTAATAGAGTAGTGTGAAATGAGGTCTAAGCTTGAACTTGTACTCTGACTCATGGAGTAACCGTGGACAAAGCCCATATTTGTGACTAGGGAAAGTTGGACCTGTGGTGCAGGTGTATGTAGGTGTAAATGAAATACAGCATGTACTTTAACTGTCTTCCACATTTTAGTCAACCATGATATCCAACTATGATTTTTGCCATAACTGTGTGCTAACTGTACCATTGTTGACTTGGTAATGATTCTATAAAAATTTCTATAAACTTTTTTTTCAAGTCTATAGAAAAATTGAGATCATGTAATGAATGCATGGCTGGTTTGTATTTTTTCCTACATATTCATGAGTTGCTAACTTAACTGTGTGTTAAGCTCAAATATTTGAAATCATCTATGTGTGCTTAAGATTTTGTGTTTTGAAATAATTGCAGACTCATAAAGGAAGCGGCAAAAACATCAGAGAGGTCTTGTATGTTCTTCACACAGTTTTCTCTCATGGTAACATTTTATGTAACTATAGTAGTACATTGTCAAAACTAGGAAACTGATATTGGCATAATGTCTGTGTAGTTGTATGGTATTTTATCATATTTGTGTAAGCACAAGATACAGAACTAGGCCCCGGAGAGATGGTTCAGTGGGTAAAAGCGCTTGATGTGCAAGTCTGATGACGTGAGTTCATTTCCTAGAACCTATGTTAAAAACGTGCAGTGAGAGAGAGATGGCTCAGAAGTTAGGAGCACACCCTGCTCTGGCAGAGGACAAGTGTTTGATTCCCAGCAGCCATGTCAGGTGCCTTACAACTGCCTGTACCTCCAGCTCCAGGGATCAGAGTCTCTACTGCACTCACAGATACTCCCCCCCCAACACATATTAAACACACACACACACATATGTATATAATTTTTTAAAAATGCACGTCTGGCATTTTAGCACATTGATGTGGGAGGTGAGGGCAGGAGAATCATTTGGAAGCCTGTAGGCCAGCAAGCCTACAGTGCTGTCAAAATAATAAGATCGATTCTGGCTCAACAAGGTAGAAGGCAAGGGCCAACACTGGGAAGTTGCCCTCTCATTTTAGTATGTGTATAAAGATGCAGAACTAGCCTGGTGGTGGTGTCGGCTCATGCCTTTAATCCCAGAACTCAGGAGGCTGAGGCAGGCAGATCTCTGAGTTCAGCCTGGAACAGAGGGAGTTCCAGGTCAGCCACGGCAACACAGAACCCTGTCTTGAGAAACCAAATCAGAGCTGTCGTCATGAAGATTTCCTTCATGTTGCTTCTTTGGTTACACTTCTGTTTCCTTGTACTTTACTGCCCTGCTAACCATTGAAAATTGATATGCTTATACCATGAATCTTTCCATTGGAGTACATTAGCAGTTACCTCCTCAGAACAATAGGACATTTCTGCACGTAACTCTGATGCATGTAGCTTAAAAAAAAAACACTGATTCCTTCGACTTCCTCAGTTGGCCCCAAAAGGCTTTGCTACTTTTTTTTGATCCTGGATCCCATTGCCTTTAGCAGCTATGTCTCATTAATAATATGTTTGTTTGTTTGTTTGTTTGTTTATTTATTCTGGGACAGGGTTTCTCTACAGACACCAGGCTGTCCTGTGACTCACAGAGATCCACTTGCCTCTGCCTCCCAAGTATTGGGATTAAAGGTGTGTACCACTGTGCCTATAAGGTTCCACTTTCAGATTTATTTATTTATTTTTGCTTAGGGGATAGGACCCAAGACGTTGACCATGCTAGACAGGTGCTCTGCCACTGAGCTGAACCCTGTAGTTTTTCTTACTCATGAGCAGTCTTTTAAACATAATTGTTCAAAGTGTAAGTGGCATGTGAACCTCTGGTTCTGTGCCTCTGTCTTATCCAGTGGCATAAGGTCAGGTGGTTCCACTACTCTGCTGTAAAGACAGCTTTTTTTCATGCTGGCAAGATGGCTTTAATGAGTAAAGATGCTTGTGGAGAAGTCTGATGACTTGAGTTGTGTTCCCATGATCTACAGTCCCCATGATCCATGTAGTGGCAGGAGGGAAAGGAACTCATTCCAGCTGTCTCTGCCTTTTACATCTGCATACACATATGCGTGCTAAATAAGTAAAAAATTAAAACTTTCTTATTGTGAGATTAAACTTTTAGATACTGTGAATGTCCTGCTCTCACCGAGGTTTTTCTTCTCCCCCCTCCCTCCCTCCCTCCCTCCTTCCCTCCTTTCTTTCTTTTCTTTTTCTTGAGACAGATTTTCACTATATAGCCCTGGCTGGCCAGGAACTAACTTCATAGATGAGGCTGGCCTCGAACTCACAGAGCTCTTTCTGCTTCTGGCTCTTGGATATTGAGATTAAAGGATTGTGTCACCACATCAGCATCTCCCCAAGTATTTATTCAGTAGTGCTAGTCAAGATTATTTATTCTTTTTTTTTTTTTTTTTTTTTTTTTTTTTTGAGACAGGATTGCTCTGTGTAGTTAGTCTTGGCTGTCCTGGAACTCACTCTGTAGACCAGGCTGCCTACCTGTGCCTTCCAAGTACTGGGATTAAAGGTGTGAAAAGTGTGCGCCACTACCATCCAGCTAATATTCCCCCTTCTTTGCTTACAAAACTATTACATTGTTTTTCTCCATGGGGGATAAGGCATGCTTATGCCTTAACATGTGTGTGTGGGTCACAGGAAAACTTGAGGGAGTTAGTTTCCTTCTTCCATGTGGGTCCTGGAATTAGCTCAAGTCCTCTTGACAGCAAGTACCTTTACCTGTTAAGTCATGTCACTGGCCTATCTTTTGCTTGAGACAGGAGACCTCTGAGTGAGTATTGGGATTACAGGCGTGTGCCATCGTGTCTGGTACTCTTGTCCTCTGCTCTTGCTCTGTTATAGAGCTGTAGATTTAAAAAAAAAAAAAAAAATCAGCATTTGGATTTAGTACTGTCACTTTGACTGTTAGAGGATTTTTGTTGTTGTTGGGTTTTTTTGTTTTTGTTTTTTTTTTTTTTTTTGAGACAGGGTTTCCTCAGGTTGTCTTAGAACTCATTTTGTAGACCAGGCTGGCCTTGATCTCAGAGATCCAACTGCTTCTGCCTAATGAGTTCTGGTATTAAAGGTGTACACCACTATGCCTGGCAGACGCTTCTTAAAATTTAAAAAAAAAAGTTTTTTTTTTTTTTAAAATGTGTGTTTTGCCTTTGTGTATATACTGGTACAACAGCCTGGTGTCCTCAGGAGCCAGGCGAAGGCATTGGATCCTCTCGAACTGAAGTTACAGGTGGTTGTGAGCTGTCTTGTAGGTGCTGTAGGTGCTGGTTCCTGTGTAACAGTAGCAACTGTTCTTTGTTTTATTTTGTGTTTTGTTTTTTGATATTTTTTTTGAGACAGAGTTTCTCCACATTACTATGACTGTCCTAGGATTTTAAATGTAGACCAGACTGGCCTCAAATTCATAGAGATTTGCCTGCCTCTGTTCTGTGTGCTAAGATTAAAGGCAGGTAGCACACCATGTCTGGCCTTCAACTGTTGTCAACCACTGAGCCTTCTCTTATCACTGTCCCTTGCCCCATATATTTCTCAAAGGAATCATGGCAAAAATTAAGTTTATTTAGAAGGGACACTTCCTATCGCTTGTCTGTAGTAGTCATTTTATATACTTATTTATTGAGACTGGAACTTGGTGTATAGGCCAGGCTAGCCTGTAACTCACAGAGCTCCATCTGCTTCTGCTTCCTGAATGCTGGAATTAAAAGCATGCACCACCATGCCTTTTGTAGTCACTTTTTTTTTTTTTTTTTTTTTTTTTGGTCTTGAGACTGTTTCTCTGTGTAATAGGCCTAGCTCTGTGCTAGAACTTGCTTTGTAGGCCAGGCTGGTCTTAAACTCAGAGAGTTGCCTGAATGCAAGAATCAAAGGTGTGCGCCATCGCTGCCCCTCTATAGTCACTGTAACCTCTGAGCCATCTCTCCAGCCCCACTGTAGTCACTTTAAAAAATTGTTTATTTTATGTATGTGGGTGTTGTGTCTGCATGCATGTTTGTATACCACATGTGGCCTAGTGTCCTTGGAGGCCAGAAGATAACATCTGATCTCCTGGGATTGGAGTTACATTTGTGAGCTGCCATGTGGGTGCTGGAAATTAAACCAGGGTTCTCTGGAAGAGCAGCCAGTGCTCTTAACTGCTGAGTCATCTCTCTAGCCCCATTTTATTATTTTTTCATAGTCATTTTTTGATTGAAAAAATTCGTCCTTGGCCAAGGTGGCACATGCCTTTAATCCTAGCACTCAGGAGGCAGAAGCAGGTGTTTCAGTGGGAGTTCAAGGCCAGTCTGGACCATAAAATGAGAAAGAAAAAAATTGTTTATCACATGTGTGTGGGGTGTGCATGTGCCACAGTGTGTGGGTTGGAGGATAGCTTTGTGGAATTGGTTCTTTCTTTCTACCTTTCCATGTTGTCTTAGTTAGGGTTTCTATTGCTGTGAAGAGCTACCATGACCACAACAACTTTTTTTTTTTTTTTTTGAGACAGGGTTTCTCAGTAGCTTTGGAGCCTGTCCTGGAACTTGATCTGTAGACCAGGCAGGGCTTGAACTCTCAGTTCCACCTGCCTCTGCCTCCTAAATTCTGGGATTAAAGGCTTGAGGCACTAAGGTGACTCCCTTACAGCTTCAGAGGTTCAGTCTGTTATCACCAAGGCTGGGGAGCATGGCGTTCGGGAATTTGGCATTGTGCAGGCAGACAGGAAGCTAACTAAGACACTGGGCAATATCTTGAGCATATATGAGGCCTCAGAACACACCTCCAACAAGGCCACACCCACTCCAACAAAGCCACACTTCCTAATAGAGCCGCTCACTTTGGGGCCATATTCTTTCAAAACACCACACAAGGGTTGAGGATTGAATTCAGGTTGTTCAGCTTTGCAGCAAGTCCTTGGTGCCTTTCCCATCTTGTCAGCCCCTGCGCTAGTCATTTTTGACAATAAACGTTACCATAAATGCATACTAAAATAGAGTGGGGGTCGGGATTGGGTTGGGCAGGCCAGGCTACACCACTCCTGTGATAATGCTGGTTGGTGCTCTCTGCCAGGCAAGACGTGACTCTGTGTCCTGTGGTCTCCTGAGCTATTTCAAACAAACAAGTGAAGATTTATAAATATGACATTGTTTATAAAGCAGCTAGAATAATCTCACTTCCCACAGTGGAAATTGTTAGTGTTTGTAGGCATTCAACATGAGGTGTGTTTTGGCCAAGAACGTGAGTCAGAGGCATTCCTGAATTGACCTTGGTTAAAAGGAAAAAGAGTGGGTTTGGGGAGATGGCACAGCGGGTGACAGTGCTTTCTGCAGCCTGGTCACTGGAGGTGGAAGGACAGGACAGACAGGTCAGTTGTTCTCTGACCTACACACACACACACACACACACACACACACACACACACGCACGCACGCACGCACGCACACACACACACACAGTGGCCCAAATGCATCCCCACACATTCATCAGTCACAAGCACAATAAGAATCTGTAACTTTGCATCTGCCCCAGGCACCCCAGTTGAAGTCATAGCTTGGTACTTGCTTCTGTGTTGTAGAAACTCCAATAGCAAAAACGATCGGAGGAACCGGAAGTTCAAGGAGGCGGAACGGCTCTTCAGCAAATCCTCAGTCACATCGGCCGCTGTAAGTGGTGGGAGCCGGGTGGCCCTTTATTAAGATTCCCTTCCTCGCTGTGTGGGTTGGTGTCTTGGGGGTCTGGTCAGTTGTCTGGTAACCAGTGACTTCTCTTTTAGGCAGTAAGTGCCTTGGCAGGAGTTCAGGACCAGCTCATCGAAAAGAGTGAGTCTGCTTTTACCTTCTTTATCAGTTTGTTTTAAAGCAACCACAGACCCTAAGTTAACTCTGGTTTGCCCAGTTGGTTACCTAAGGACTGCGTCTTCTATGGTTTTCCCTTGTTCCTGGGAATTGGGAGGCTTTGGGCATCTTCCCCAAGTCTTTTTATTTATTTATTTATTTTCTGGTTTTGTTTTGAAGGAGGGGTCTTGCTATATGGTCTGTCTGACTGTCTGACTGTGTAGATTGTACTTGTCCCAATCAGACATACACTTGCCCCTGCCTCTGCCTCCTGCTTGCTGTGATTAAAGGCCCGTGCCACCATGCCATCTATATTGAAGGAAGAGCCTACTGGCCTCCTGCTACTTTTTTTCCCGTGAAACTGGGCTGGAGATACCAAAAGACCTCAAGCTACAGTAGGGCTTAAATTCCTAGGAATTTTGTTTGTGTTTTTTGAGATAGTCTCTTCTAATCCATGCTGACCTGGAACCTGCTCATAACTGAGGCTGGCCTCAGTTTTGTGACCCTGTTACTAGGTGCTGGGATCGTAGGCATGTGTCATTATCCGCTGAGAGAACTTTTCCAGTAATAAGTTGTTTAGATCTGGAGAGATGCAGTGATTAAGAGTGCCTACTTATCTTGCAGAGGACCGGGGTTTGGTTCCTAGCACCATTTGGTGGCTCACAACTGGTAACTCCAGTCCCAGGGGATTGGTTGCCCTCTTCTGGTCTGTGAGGACACCTGTATGCATGTGGTGTGCATAAACTCCATAAATAAAAGCAAATTAATAAATAAATACCCATATGACTGGATGTGGTGGCTTATACCTTAAACCCAGCACTTGGGAGGTAGATTCAGGCTGATCTCCTGAGTTTAAGGCCAGCCAGTGCTACATAGAGAGACCCTGTCTTAGTTACCTTTCTACTGCTATGACAAGCCACTGTAACCAAAGCAACTTCTAAAAGAAAATTGGGGCTTGCATTTTCAGAGGATTTGAATCCATGACTATCATGGTGGGGAACAGACAGTAGGTAGGCAGCATGGTGTGGGAGCCGTAGCTGAGCTCACATCTTGAGGCATAACCACAGTCGGAGAGAGAGGGAGAGAGAGAGACACACACACACACAGAGAGACAGACAGTCACGCAGAGAGACAGAGACAGACAGAGGGAGACACAGAGAAAGATAGAGAGAGACACACAGAGACAAGGACACACACTAGGGATTGGAGATAGAGAGAAACATTGGGAATAGCTTCTGAGCCCTCAAAGCCTATCCCTAGTGACATTTCCCCTTCAACAAGGCCACACCTCTTAATTCTTCCCAAATACTTCTACCAACTGGGAACCAAATGTTCACATATGTGAGTCAATGGAGACCAGGATCATTCACACTACCACAGACCCTATCTCAAAACAGAATAACAGCAAATAAACCCCTAGTGCAGATAAATCCCTAGTGCTCAATTTAGGAAACTCTAAGGGTGTATCTGTGTATTCTTAAATATAGAAGGGGGTGTAGATGCTGTTTACTTTCACAGGTCTGATTTTAAAAAACAGCTGGGGTTTGTGTGACTGCTGGGCATTTCCAGTGATCTGTCCTATTGTAGAATTAGAGCCCTGCTTTGGGGCAGGGGTTTGAGGAGGGATTTTGGTAACTTGGACCTGAGAGTCACTCAGTGGCTTCAGTTTAGCTCTGTGTAGATTTCTGTCCCAGCCAGACGCCTGTGCCTTAGTGCTGCCTATCCCAGAGTCATTTCCACTCAGAGTTAAATTCCAACTTTAGTCCCAACAGAATTGTTCTGTGTCCTTCGGAAGTTTTCATCCAGCTTTGTGTTACGTTGCTCCCATCCTTCCCCTTCTTAAAAGGCTACCCAGTGCCGTTGGGTGCCTTTTTGTGTTATGTTCCATCCCTTGTCTTCCCAGAACCCTGCACGGTGTCTCAGTGCCTTTCTACCTACCTCATCAGATGCTACAAATTCTTTAAATTTGAGACACATTCTTGATGTGTAGTTCAGGCTAGCCTTGGGCTTAGGTATTAAAGATTTTCTAAAGTATGTACTGGCCAGTGTTCTTTGAAATCTGCCGAGCATTGAGACACCTGCTTATGGTTGGTATTATCTACGTGTCAGGTTATATATGTATGTGTATACACACACACACACACACACACACACACACACACACACACACTTTGGTTTTGTAAAACATTTTATTTTATGTGTCTATAAGCGTTTTTTCCCCCCTGCATGTATGTATATGTATCACATGGTGTCTGATGCCTGCAAAGTCCCGAAGAATGCATCAGATCCCCTGGATGTGAACCACTAATGGCTGTGAGCCACCATGTGGTACTAGGAATCAAACTCTGGTCCTCTGGAAGAATAGTCAGTCTCTTTACCATGGAGCATCTCTCCAGCCTCTGTCCCTGTGTTTCGCAAGAGGATGTTGGAGATGCTTTTCATCACTGCTGACTGTCAGCCTCCTTCTGGACTGGTTTTCCCTTGACAACTAGTTGTTTTGGGTTTTTTTTTTGAGTCACCATCTCACTATGTAACCTTGCCTGGCCTGGAACTCAAGAGACCTACCTGCCTCTGGCTCCCAGATGCTGGGATCAGATGTGTGCTGCACACCTGGCATGTGACTTTATTTTTATTTAGTTATTATGACATACTAGGTTAGTGTTCTACCTTTGAGTTACTTACAGGAATAAGCTAAGCTCTCACTGTAGATTTTTTTTTTTTCAACTCTTTGGGACCAGCCACTCAAGCTCCCAAATAAATATACAGAGACTTATTCTTACTTATGAATGCCTGACCTTAGTTTGGCTTGTTTCTAGCCATATTTTCTTAACTTAAATTATTCCATTTGTCTTTTGCCTCTGGGATTTTTTTCTTTCTCAATTCTGTATTCTTTCCTTCTTAACTCAATGGCTGGCTGTGTGGCAGGGTAGCTGGCCTCTGTTGTCCTCCTCTTTATTTTCTCTGCCTGGCAGCCCCGCCTATCCCTTCTCCTATTGGTCTTCAGCTCTTTGTTATACCAATTAGGTGTTTTTGACAGGCAAAGTAAGAGGAATGTAACACATCATCTTTGCATCATTAAACAAATATTCCACAGCATAAAATAATGTAACACATCTTTAACATTTCACAACATAGCACTTCACTACTGAGTTACTTCCAGGAATGTTCTAGATCATTGCTCTTCCACTGAGTTACTTATAGGAACGTGGGTGTGGGATTATTCACATGACCATGGGCAATTTACCAGTGACTGCTCCACTGAAGAAAATGTCCTTGAGCAGCCATTATGTGCTTATAGATCAGGGAGAGCTGGGGACTTGTGAATATGTCAGATCTTCGAGGATGTGTTGACAGGCTCAGTCTTGCCCAAAAGTCATAGCTGCTGTGAGTCTTGAGTTCAAGGCCATGTCATTCCCAGAAGGCAAGGCTTCCTATTACCCTACCCCTTTCTCCTGTGAGAACATTCTTGCTGCTGTGGTCCTTGAACCTTTGGATGGAGTGATGTAGATGTCCCAGTTGGGGCTGAGTGTTCAGTCACTCATTCTCAGCACTTTGACTAACCAGTTGTGAGTCACTGCCCACTGCAAAAAGGCTGCATTGACCAAGGCTGACAGTGCCAGTCTGTGGGTGTAAATAGAAACATCTAGAAGGTGATTTTCCAGGTCCATTAGCAAATCCACAGCTATGGCTTTTCCACTAGGGCCTGTGACCTCCTCCCACCTCAAACTTTTGACCAGGGTTACAGTGGCTCCTGTAGAGTGAGCATTATACCCAGCCGTTGAATGCTTGGTTATCCCTTGATACTCATGCTGGTTTTGTGCTGGTGGACCCTTGCCTAGCATGTAGGTAGTGTTACACACAAGGTCCATAGCTGAGTAAAATTGCTGATGATGTCTTCCCCCAGAAGCCAGCATAGAATCTATGGTATTGTGGAAGCTAGCCAAGAGGGATAGAGACTTTTGCATGTCCTGTAACCAAAATCTATGGTGTTTCAATGTTTTTAACAGATTTCTAAAAATATTATTTTATATTTGAGACAGGATCTAAGTACTGGGAATGTAGGTTTAAACCACCTAGCATTTCTAAAAAAATTATTCTTTCCTTTTTTTTTTTCTCCCACTCTTTAAGACATGGTCTTTCTATGTAGGCCTGGATAGCTGGGACCAGGCTGGCCTCAAACTCAAAGGGCTCCTTATGCCTCTGCTTCCCAAGTGTTGGGATCAAAGATCTGTGCCACTGTACCTGACTCATCTTGATTTTTTTTTTTTTTAAAACTAACTAGAATTTACTAAAAGTTATTTGTCTGACTCTGTGTTCCTTGGATTCCTTTTCTTCTTATTTCTGTTTATTTTGATTCACAAACCTCCCTCCCCCCTTTTTCCAGACAGGGTTTCTGTATGTATCCTTGACTGTCTTGGAACTTACTCTTTAGACAAGACTGGCCTGGAACTCACAGAGATCCGCCTGCCTCTGCCTCCTAAGTGCTGGGATTAAAGTTGTGTGCCACCACCGCCAGGCCCCTTTCATTTTTTTAATATTAGTTTTTCTAGTTATTTCTTATTATATGTAGCCACACATGTGTCATGGTGTACATGTGGCAGTCATAGGGCACACTCTGGCAGCTGGTGATCTCCTTTCACCGTGAGACCCAGGGATCAAGCTCAGGTCATGAGGCTTTGTTGCAGGGACCTCTGCCTGCGGAGCCGTCTGAAGGAACCCTCTGCTTGGACGTCTGTAAAGCGGATGCAAGGCTTGAGGGTCCCTAGAAGCCCAAGCGGTTGACAGCATGATTGTGTCCCACAAGAGGAGCAGCGTGCTTGGCCTATCCTTCTTTCCTCATGTGGACTCTCCAGGGCTATAGACTCTGAAAAACAGGCCCGTGGACGAGTCTGTGGGTGAGGCCTCCGATCTCCAGGAAGGAAAAGGCAGAATTTTGCCTTCTATCTTCTTTAATTTGAGGATCTCAGAGTTTTCTACTTTGAACA